CTCAGGGCTCTAAGGTTCTGTGCCCAATACAACAGACTTTCACATGAATCAATGTCTTTTTTCCCTTTAAATTATTCAGGATCTCTATCTTATCAAATTCCTTTAAAAGCCTAAATGGCTACAATAATTACAGTATTTTCATCTCACTGTGCAGTAACCTCTGTCCCTTTGGAGAATTTGTAAATGGACTACTTTTGTGTTTTGCATAAAGCAGCCAAGCAGTCCCTCTGAACATGTCCTTGAACTGAAGCCTACCTAGTGCATTAAATTTATACTTTATAAGTGACATCTCACTAAGAAGTTACACAGGGACTTGACACCTTTTTGTTAAGTCGCCTCCACTGTGTTTGCTATATAATACATAGACACTAAAGTCCAGCTATCCAATTTCACATTAAGGTCATAACCACTGAAATTCTTGATTGAAAGACAGGGGCAGGTAATCTTTCCATTGGCAGATTATTTCCATCTACTGAGAACAAGTGTCTTCCCAGCACCATTCAGGGAACTTTATGGTCATGCTTACGAGATTGTTTTTCAATACAGGACCCATTAAGAACATTCTCAAGGAAAACAGAGATAGATTCAGAACAATCATCACCAAGTCTTTCCAAACCATGCAGCAGAAAGTTGAGGATATTCTAAGACTCCAGTATGAACAAAGGTAAGGTTGTTTGTTGGGGCTTTGATCCCAGACCCGATGATAGTTGATTAGTAAGTAAAAATGGCAAGAGGGTGAGGAATAGCCATGAACCCCACTGGATAGAAGCACTGCATGGAATGTTAGTAAAACAATAGTTCTTCTTCCCAAGTTTTCTAGCTCTAAGAGCTATGAAGTGACTTCTCTCTCAACCAAGGAGGAAGAGATATTGTTAGTGTAAGACCACATAATGCACATCACGTTCCTTTTCCCTGTCAGGATGTTTTAGATGCCCTTTCCCCATTCCTCCATCGAAGGAGTTAGTGAGGGCAAGTAAGTCATGCTTTGAATGCACTCTCTTCATGTTGTGAAGGAATCTCACAAACACTATACACTGTTATCTTTTACAGGCAGAAACTTTATGAAGAATATTCTCTTCAGATTATGAATTTGAATAGCAAGTTAAACATGGATGCAGATCAAGTCAAGAAACAGGCGGAAAAGCTCTCTGTGAGTATCAGGCTTAGCTTTGAAGAAGTCCATTGTGTCAGCATCAGAAAGTCAGGAGGTAGAGAGACAGGACACCAGATTAAGGAGGGTGGTGGATGTGATGAGGAAAGACTCGCCATACTGTCTCTCTCCATGGCTTGCTTCCTTTTCTGTGGACAGATATAAGTGCTGGTTTTTCAAATGCTACTTTATTTAGGTGTTCCTTAAAGCTTATTCCTTCCTTCCAAACCCCATTCGCAGGTAGGGGAAAAGGACGTTGTAAGGCAAAGGGGACATGGCCCGCTTTACTTCCTCCTGCTGGGTATGGTCATAGGATTTCTTTGGGGGCAATACCAATATCAGTCATCAGGAAATCCAGATGTCCAGGTAGCCAGCAAGCCAACAAGAACAGCAAGCAGTCCTCCATCTCCTCCAGGCAATCATGCCTTCTTCCTCAGGGATATCATATTTATAACCCTCAACATACTCAGAATTCAACTCATTCCAGCTGGCAAAGACTTACGCTCTGCTCAAGACAACTGACATCTGTGAACAAACCAAAATCCCCCACTTGGGATTATAACAAAAACATGTTTACATATCATAAACAAAAATGTCCACAATAGAGAGAAGACAAGGTCAGTGGTGGGTTAGGAGCCAGCATGGGGGAGGAGTCAGGGGCTGAGTAGGCACTTCCTGGAAAGTGCAGGAGAAGGTATAGGATGGTATCCTGAGAGGGACTTCTTCATGATGCATGATGTGAGGACACCAAGGAGCAGGAGGCCTAATCTAGACTTCTGACACAGTGATCAGGGATGTAGCATGGGAGCGGTCAGTGTGGCTACGGCAGAGCAGATGGAGGCTTAGCTTTCAGTGGTTGAAGTTCAGACCAGCCCAGTCCCAGAGGAAAACATGAAAAGGCCTGATGCCACTATGGACACTTGATGATGACTGACTGGCCTTTAACCTGGAGAGGAGAATAAGGTTGGGGGACAGGTACTGGACTCTGAACAGTGAGGAATTTGGAGCCTCAAACTTCCTGCTAGAGGATGGAGCTGCCCTCCTGAAGATTCTGATTTCCAAAAGTGGGGAAGCAGAGGCTGGAGTACTGGGGTAGATGGAGGCCCTGTTCTGTCCAGTGATTCAAAGCATGGCCTCTGGCATGCCATTGATTGGAAGGCAGTCATTATCCAGTTACTTGCCAGTTATGCTAACTCAGGAAAGCAGTTGACCTCTGTGCCTCAGTTTACCGGTGGAGGCAGGAGATATACCTAAAGGCCCCATCTCACCAAATTGTTTCAAAAATTTCTTTTAGATGTGTATTCTGATATTGGTCCAGGAGAGCATCTGAAGTAGGTCTTATAGAATCCATTCCTGTTAAGCATGGAACTGTTGTTGGCTCCAGTCTTAATGGAAAGGAGAAAATGGAGTGGGCTCCTCTGTGGGGCAATGACAAATCATGGGGACAACTCAAGGCAACTTCTTTTAATGCAGAGAGTTCACCAGAGTTGGAGGCTTCTACTGGGAAGGTTTTCAAGTGTTCAGGAACAGGAATGTTTTGAATACTGTTAAGTAGGAACACTGTTGAATAGGTTTTGTTATTTTGTATTATCAGGTAACTCCTATGAATGCAGTCATTGTGTTAATTGGAAAAAATATTACAGTTATTTCATCCCATCGGTTTTGCACAAATATAATACAGAATTGTGTTTCTGTAAGCCCTGTGGTTTCCCTTGAATTGTTCTTATGACTTTTACTGTCTTTGTCTGTAGAGTATATTTACGGAGCATCGGATGTTTGTCCTTCAGTCTCTGGTTCTTCAGAAGGAGAGAATGGAAGAATTTAAATCACTCTGTGAACAGTACTTGGAGGTGTGTTGTACGTCCTGACAAAGCAACCTGTACTGGGGAACACTGATATTCTGGCCTTCTTTCTGTGGCTTGGTTAACACCTTTGGAAAGTTACCTGGAAACACCTTCCAGCATTTTCCCCATGCTCCATGTTCCATGTAAACCTAAGTAGAAAATGAGTGTTTAATTTTAGGATTCACTCACGGTTAGGAGACGCACTCAAAGCAGGGATTGGTGCCTTGGTAATTTCATCCAGAGTTGTTGATATTGTACAGGGCATTAATGCTTTTCAGAGAGTCCCATCTTGTCTCACAATGCATTCTCCTTTGGGTAAGTATCTGCACACATGCATACATATGTGTACCTGTCTGTGCATGTGTGTGTGGAGGCCAGAAGTCAACTGTGGGTACCTTCAGTCACTGTTTACCATATCTCTTTTTTCCCCCCTTTGTCTTTCTTGCCTTTTTCTCACTATGTAGCCCTGGCTGTCCTGGAACTCACTATGTAGACCAGGCTGGACTCACCCTCACAGGGATCCACCTGTCTGCCTCCACCTCCCAAGTGCTGAGATTAAAAGTCATGCCTGGCTCCATCCTACCTTTTCGGAACAAGATGGGTAGTGGACCTGGAACTTGCCACTATGGCTAGGTTGGCTGTTCTCCAGATCCTAAGGCTCTGCCTGTCCTGCCCCCGGTTGATGTGTCACCATGCGTGGGTTTTAACATGTGTGCTGGAGAGCTGAAGTTGGCTTTTTATGCTTGTGGAGCAAGCTCCCTGTCCACTGAAGCTGTCTTCCCAGACCCCGTAATCCATTTCTAAGCAGAGTAGGGACAGAAATGTATAGCACCTGCACTTTCTTTACTTGCTCGGTCCATTTTCAGTTTGTATCATTGCATGGCTGAAACATGACTTCATATGGCCAATTACAACAGTGAGACAGCTCCCAGATGTAGCACACAGTGAAAAGGTAAACAGAAGGCTGATTATGAAATTGTGAATTGAGAATTACCCTCTGTAATAGGACTGTCTTTGTTAATTCTTCCTAGGCACGCTGACCTATAGTATTATAGCTATTTACAAAAGAATTAAATACAGCATTCTCTGTATTTAATTGTTTTGACTTGATGTGAATAGGCTTGTTCAAGTTGGTGTTTAAATTTTATTTGTCCGGAATAAGTAAGGTGGCCCAAAACAATTAGTTGAAAGAATTCATCCCTTGCCTTATGATTTTCCCCTTCAACACAGACACCTATCTGACACACACACACAACACACACACACACACACACACACACACACACACACACACACACACTTCCAGTGTCTGTTCCTGCTGAAATATCATTCCTTTGACAACTCAGTGGCCCAGAAACTTGCTTGCCCATTCCAACCTTAAGATCTCTGTGTTGTTCCTGTTTCTGTGATCACCGCATCACCGGACTGTAGAAGAGGTCCTGCAAAGTTTTAGGATCTCTCTACTGTGTTTAACAAAACCATTTAGGAGACTGGAGAGATGGCTCAGAGCGTTGACTGCTCTTCTGGAGGACCCAGGTTCAATTCCCAGCACCCACTTGGCAGCTCACAACTGTCTGTAACTCCCAGAGCTGACACCCTCACATAGACATACCGGCAGACTAAACACCAATGCACATAAAATAAAAATAAATTTTTAAAAATGCATTTAAAGTAAAAAGAGTTTATATGTAATGTGTACTGTTTCTGCAACAGGCAAAGTGTGTATGTGCTGGTGGTCAGCGAGTAGACAAAACTTTAAGTTTTAATTTCATCATGTGCAGTGTTCATAGTACTCCTCCATCTCACAAGGAAGTGGATGAGTGGCAATAAAGGAGCTCATGCCTCGTGCTCACTCTTTCATTTGGCTTCATTTGCTTTTCTTTTTGTTGTGTTGGGTGAGGGGTTCCAGGGTCTTAAACATGGTAGTCAAGCATCCTTCCCCTAAGCCACAGCCACAGGTAATACCTTGTGATCTGAACATTAAGCAGCGGGTTGAGGAGTGTCAGTGTCTTTTTCACAATTTGATCTTCATGTTTTACAGGGTGTATGCTTATTTTGGAGTAATTAAAACCATCTCTTTTACTGCATTTCCTCCCTTTTAAATGTTGTGGATGGCATTTGTAAGCCAAGGTGAGCAGGGCTGATTTCTGTACTTGTCTTTTCACTTTAGAAACTTGAGGTGCTGAAGTACTCTGGGGGGAATTCCGTGGCTGAAGAGCTGAGGCTTCTCATAGACACCTTGGAGATAAAACTTCTGACGGTGAATGTAAGTACCCAGTCTTTCACAGGGGAAATGAGAATGTCTGAACACTGTTTGTTTCATACCCATTTAATGTGTCCTTGCCCTTGACAGCGCCAGCAAGAGAGTATTGCTGCTCGACTGTCTCTCCTGGATGTGTTACTCTCATAATACTCTGAAGAACAAAGCAAGGGGAGAGGAGATCAGCTGGGTGAAGCTACTTGAGGTGACATTTGCAGCTAGTAGAATTTGCAAACCAGTAGAATTCATTAATCCTCCCAAATAAGAAAGATGTGAGTAATGTGATGTGAGTTCATGAAAATGTAATTTTCAGACAAAATTTACAAGGTCTGTCAATTAAATTTGGTCCATTACCTAATGTCATGTGTCTTCATCTTAAGACTTGATCCTTAGCCTGAACACAGCTTCAATATCCATGGTTTATTTGCATTTCATCCCTTGCATGGGTAGGAGTAACTGAGAATATTTTGATTTTCAAATTTATTGTGCATGTAGTATGTGTACATCAGGGATATACAAGGTCTCCTATACAGTTAAAGCTCTTGTCCCATGATTTCCTTTATATATGCCATGGGAAATCTCTGCTTGGAAACATTTGATTTATTAGTAAACATGAAATTGTTTCAGATCTGTTGGGATGAGTCATGTAATTTCACCCTCTCCCTGACCTTTCACAACTTTTCAAACAAAACTGGGCCATGCTGTGTAGAGGTATGTCATCTATCACCTGTGTTTCTGCACAGGTACAGTTGTACCCTTACCCACTTGCTGGATTGTGTGGAAAATCCGAGAACAGATTGTTTTCAGCATCTCCTACTTTCTACAAGTGGAACTGGCAAATGAGGGCTTCCCCTCTGGGATCAGTTTATTTCTTAACTTTGCATTATCTGGGGGTACTTCCCACAACTCCTGCCATGATTTTTGACCCTGTTGGGAGCAGGAAGGTCCTTGAACCTGCAGATATCCTGGGAGACCAGGAATGTTAAGCAAGTAATATTGTCTTTTCAATGAAAATGATGTAAAATCTGTCATTCCATCCAGCACTGGAGGTGATAAAACAGCCTGGTGATCTGAGTTATCAATTTGGCCAGGCCTATTAAGCTCCTAAAACCAGGCCCAGAGACAGATAGTAATCTGAATGATACTTGCAGCCTGGAGCTCTCTAAGTTCCCCCAACCAGGAACAGAGATACCTAATAGTCTAAATGACCCATATGTTATCAGTACAATCAAGGGCGCTCCCAAGCTCTGACAACTAGGACCCGATATAATAGTCTTGTTAAACCCAGCAAGAGCCTAAATATAAGGAGGTATGAAGAGAACTCAGGAAACTAATCATCCATCGATGTAAAAAAAAAAAAAAAAAAGCAAAAAAAAAACCACAAGAGGTTACTCTTGACCATTGCGCAATGGGGTCACCCCTGCTGGTCAGCTAGGAGTGGCACCGGGAGACAAAGACCTTAGGTTTTTAAAAGACACAAGGTGGGAATCTCCTGGGGTTGCCTTCTTGGCGATTTAGGATTGGATGAGGTGTTTAACTTTTAAAATAATTGGTTAGTTCTGGTCACCCTTAGGTCCAGTCAGCCCTGTCATAAATATCTGATCTTCAAGTCAGTTTGGAATTTCCTGCCTTCCACAGTTAAATGTGGGAGGGTGATTAACTCATCCCATGTCTGTTCTGAGGAGTGGGGGTTACAGGCTTTGGATCAAAGGTCAGGAGAAGGATTGGGACCATTTGGCCCAGTTTCCAAATAAAGCCCATCTCACCGGCGCCAGCCAGTGATTTTTTTCTCCATTTAGTAGAGATCTCTGCTTGTTCTCTTTCTTATCTCTGCCCTCACAGATGGCTAATGTCAGGAACATATACATTCCTCGGCTCTCTGGAGAAGCACTAAGAGGCTTTAATTAACATGGGCCTAAAACTTGGAAATATAAGTTATAAGACAATTAAAAGAAACATAGGTTACAAAGTTAGTCTGATTCTTTCAGTCTGAATGACCCTCATGTTATCTGCACAGCCGGGGGCTTCCCCAAGCTTTGACAATGAGGATCTGAGATACCTAACAGTACAAATGACCCTTTTATTACCTGTACAGCCATGGGCTCCCATAAACTCATAAATCCCTGATTGGAGATGATACCTAATAGTATAAGTGACCCTCAAGTTACCTATACAGCCTGGGGCTTCCTCTAAGCTCCCTCAACCAGGCCCCAAGATAACTGACATTCCAAATGACCATTATGCCATTTGTACAAAGGGTTGCTCCAAGCTCCCACAACCATGACTGAAGATATCTAATAGTGCAAATGACCCTAAGTATCTATACAGCCATGGGCTCCCCCAAGCTCTGACAATGAGGACCAGAAATACCTAATAGTCTAAATGACATGCGGTCTGTACAGCCAGTGCCCCCCACCAAGCTCCCACAATCACGACCTGAGATTCCTAATATTGCAAATGACTCTTGCATTACCTGTACTGTTAAGGGCTCACCCCAGGTCCAGCAACTAGGACAGGAGAGGCCTAGTAGTCTAAATGACTCTCATATTATCTGTACAGCAAAGGGCTCCCCCATGTACCCCCAACAAGAATCGAAGGTAACTAATAGTCCAAATGGCCTGTAAGTTATCTGTACACCCAGGCCAAACCTTACACTTTTAACAGCCAGGACTGGAGATACCTAAGAGTCTCAGTGACCCTTCTGTGTATAATCAGTGCCCCCCACCCCAAGCTCCCAAAACTAGGCCTGGAGATACTTAATAGTTTAAATTGACCCTTACAGTACATGTACAGGTAGGGGCTCCCCCAAGCTCCCATAACCAGGACCTGGACTATGTAACAGCGCAAATGACCTCTAAGCTATGTTTATGACTGAGACCAGGCCAGATTTTTCCTGAGGCCCCTAAGCTAGTACAGGTAGCCCATCTTCAGAACCCATCCTCGAGACCAGGCCAGATTTGTCCTGAGACCTGAATTTTCTGAATTCACTCCCCAGATCCCATGCTAAGGTGGAAGATAAGAACTGACTCTACAAAGCTCCTCTCTGACATTCACATACATGCTGTGGCTCACATCATAGAAACACAAAAGTAAGATTAAGAGCCCAAAGAATGCACACCCTCTTGCAGAGAGCCTTGAACATACTCATCTTTCATGAGCATCAATGAACAAGTTCATCCATGGTCATTGCTTGTCAGAAGCCATTCTGTTAAAGGAGCTCATTAGGCATGTGGGCCTTCTGGAAGGTGATCTGGAAGGTCTGTACTATGATTCACCCCTAGAATTGCTTCCAGCCTCTGACACAATGTCAAGAACCATCAACTTGGGGAATTTCAGTAAGTATGAGAGCTCTCTGGAAGGAATCTGGTATTTTGCAAGGTCTGTACTATGATGCACCCTAGAATTGCTTCCCACTTCTGACAATCCCTTCATTTGTGCACTGCTGCATTCCTCTAAAATCTGGCATAGAGTAAATCATCACTTTTTGGGTATGTACCAATTCTGACTGAACAAACTTTCCATGGGCTCTTATTGAAGACACACTGCTGTCCAGGTGAATGAATTCCTGATTATGGAATTTCTGATTTGATTCAGTTTTAAACTGTAAAAGCTTATGACTGCAATCAATATCTCTGTGGACCTCCAGATGACTCATTAGGAGACAGATCTGAAGTAGAATTGTAGCTTCAGATAGCCTTCACTCCAGATGACACCACAAATCATGGTATATGCTATAAATATACACAAGTTGGTTTAAACTTCTCATGAACCCAAAATATAATGGGGCTACATACAAATGTCTAAATTAAGTACAAACCTTAATGTCAAAATATACAAACTGCTCTGTTGTAATTCCTTGTACCTTGTCAGCTTATGGCATAAAACACTGTCATTTTAAATTTACTTTGTTTCTTAGAATGAAAGACAGATAAGAATATTGTCTTGAACTCCCTATAAACTAAGACATAGCTGGAAAATGTGTAGCCAGGTCAGTCCTAATTGAAAAGACATATATTCTTGTAACTTTAGACCCTGTTAACTTTTAGGCTTTGTCAACCTTTGTCATTCAGAACTCACTATGAACTTATGTAATAGACACATAAATAAGAAATGTTTACTCTTTAAACATGTAACCTGTTGCTTTTTAGAATTCATCTGTTTTCATGATTTTGACTATGAGGTAAATCTTTTTTTTCTGACATAAAGAGCTTTTGAATCAGAGGTATAAAACTATGACCACACAATAACCGTTGGTGAAAGCCAGTTGGGTGGAAGCCCTCTGAGGGTTGAAGATGGTTGGATTGAAGCTCGCTGGAATTCACTTCATCCCTGAGTTGTAAATATGTATAGAGATATGTGTTTGCATGTAAATATATCCATCTGTCTGTTTTTGTACATATATTAATTAGTGCATGCCAATTGTCTGTCTGTGTGTAAGGAGCTCCTTTTATATCATCCATTGAATGTGTATATGAATACATACAGGTCTATATGTCTGATTGTTTGTCTATGTGTACATATGGGCTGATACTATGGAACCAGCAGCCTAAACTTGCACTTTCTACAGAGGGGGGATGCCAGCTAAAATCAAGATCTTCATCATATGTAAGTTTGTGAAACTTGTTAAAGTTGAAGTTAAAATATTTTACTTCGTCCTTTTCTCTTTAGTGTGTGTGTTTGAGTGGTCATTGCTTACTTTTTCTCCTTTTCCCTTTTTTTTTTTATCTATTCACAAATAAGTCTATAGATTCAGGACCTAACCATCAGCCTTATAAGCAGCCCAAAGTTTACTTTAGCCTGTGGAGGCCTGTACAGGACCTAATCTCAGATCAAAGACCCTCCTTTTACAACCCACTGAAGTTTTGCCTAGAAGCTCCTTTTGCAGAATCCCCTGCAGAGAAAAAGGTAAAGGTGGTCAGTTTAAGTTTTTCTCCTTAGCAGCAGCGCAGCCAGTCCATAGTCCTAGACAAGAGATCCTGGGCTCCGTCACCTCTTTCTTCTTTCAGTCATGACCAGTTGCCTATGGCATCAGCTTGGTGACTCAAGAGATAAAGCAAATGGGGATTCTGCATCCTGTCCCAGATCCTGTACTTGAACCTTGCCAAAGCAGAGAGAGACTCTGGCAGCAGACTTTGGCAATTATTGTTTTA